ACTGTAAAGTCCATTCTCAGTGGATGTGCACTGGTGGTAATTGTGAAGGAGTCAGTACACACACCAACAGGTAAATATCACCTCATGCCAGGGACACACAGGAGGTGCACGTGCCACAAAGTGCCCTGAAGCTCCGCCCACTTCTTTTCGGTGCCCATGTTACCTAATCAGGCTGCAGTTATCGTTTTGCCATCTGTTATATTTTTCCTGTGAGCTGTGATCAAATCTGCCAAGAAACCACAATGGTAATCTGTTATAAATGATATAATTGATATATGAAATGATCTGATTCTGACAAATTATGAAATATGCATTTCATGCTTGCCAACCCTGTTCAACCCAAGCGACTAGTTTATGGAGAAAGTGGAGAGCTTTCAGCAGCTAAACAGCCTCTGCAATAAATCTAGCAACTTTTATTCAAAAAACATTGCTATGAAACTCTGAAGGGTATGCCATGATACCCATTTAAAAACAACAAAGCAGTTACTGTATGAATATTTTAAATAATAATAACAGGAATTACATGCCAGAATGCGGTATTTTAAACAGTATAGTATTTTTTATTCCCAAAAGATTCAGAGACGTCTTTCACTGCAGATATTTTGACTTATCTCAGCAGGAATAACAACTAATAATAATAATGAAGGCTTTGTTTCAAGGCTCACTGCAATAAAATTCAGCAACTATTAATGTTATTAGGGACACTAGTCCCATGGCTTGACGGAGCATTTTCAAGTCTGAGAAAATAACCCTGATAATGTCATCAGTGTTAGTGGGCATGGTATTTGAGATTGAAAGAATTGGTCAAAGAAAGACAGTATCAGTTTATACTGGCAATGAAGGGATGGAATGTATTTATGTACTGGTTTTACACACACCGATGGCAGAGAGCTAGCCGAGTCCAGTGTCTATGTGTGCTGTGATGCTTTTATGGTGAAACTGAACTGCTTAGTCAAGGTAAGGGTTAGCACCCAGTTTTGTCCACTGAAAGGGCACCCTAGTGGGCACTTTATCACATTTTCTCTACTGAAAGTGCACCTTAGAGGGCACTTTATTGTGTTTTGTCCACTAAAAGGGGAACCCTAGAGGGCAGTTCATCATGTTTTGTCCACTGGAAGGGTGTTTTTTTGAACATGGGGGCACCAGCTGCACTGCCCAGTGTAAAAGTATGACCTATATTATTACTCATATAAGTCAGACTACTTCGTTTTTGACCATATATTTGTTCTCATATGTGTCCCCAAAACCTCATGGAAGTGCAATGCTTAAATAATTGCAGTCAGACTTTTACAACACTTTCCCTGCAGATTAATGCACACATAATTAACACAGAGACCATAATGTTTATCAGGTGCAGGTTTTCTGCATTACAATACGCATGTTGTGCCACCTTCATGAGTCGAAGGTGTACAGTATAATTTCTTCATGAAATTTGGTTAGCGGGTTGATTTCAAATGTTGATGTTTTCTTTTGTCAGACAGACCTTCAAATTGGAGCTGTTGTGTAGACTACATGCTATTTTATCTGTCTGGAGGTTGCCAGATCTAATCAATACAGTGGTGAAGTGAACACTTTATTGAGGTGTGTTTGGTTGTAATAACATTTTATTTCAGGAGCTACAGTAATTAGTTTTAAGCAGCACACTTAGCCAGTCAGCACCAGCCTTACAGATCTGGCCTCTCTAAGTGTCAAACGTATGTAAATTAACATTTTAAGATGGAAATAAACAATCTGGTATATTGAATTACATTAGTATAAGAGAAGGGTAAAGAATGTTTTGAGTCCCAAGAGGATCAGGAAAAATACAATATTAATAATATAGGAAACCCCACTGCACTCAAAGGTCTCTACTTTAGCAGTGTCAACTGAAATTTCAAACTTGAAATCATACCTATAAACTAAATTATTTGTCTAATAGATAGCCCTGTGCCTCGTGGTGTAAAAGAGCCACCATATTCAGTCTAACATACTTCACAGAAAATGACAGAAATGATTTTGGTTTTGATTACTGCAATAATCCTGACCCTGATCTTTAATGTGTAGAGCTGCTGGCTTAGTTATCCTGCTCACTGTGTAGTGCCTCTTAAGACTGCATGACCTCTCCCGCACCACCAAACCGGAAACAGGAAGCTT